CACTATGGGCTGCCACTTCTTCAACTTCTGTGATGCTGTCAGAAATAATGTACAGCTTCATAATGGATTTTGAGTATAAGAACAAACGTTATTGACAATACATGGGGCTTGCATAAGTTGAAAGGGACTGAAAACAGAATAACAAAATTAAAATTTCAAGTGCAGCAACTGTACCATAGCGCATGTTCAATCCCAAATAAGTTTATGTTGGATCTAAGGCAAATTAAGTGGCACTGCAGCAAGTTTTCTCTGGGTACTTTGGTTTCCATCCGATGCTCCACTTCTCTCATCTCTGTTTTCTTTCGTTACTGTCATCATCAACATTATCATCCTCCCATTTAAATATGTGAGCTACTCTTTAACCTTCAAGGCAGTAGTAGAACATATAAATACTGTCTGGACTCTAAGAAGTAAGATGATTTTAAGTATTGTGACGTGTATACCCATTGCTAGGCAACAACTGTGTAAATGCATTCCCACAACATACACGTACAAAACAGGACATCCATTACTAGGTAAGAGACCGGTAAACATGCCTCCTTAACAATATAGGTTGCATTTTCTGTGTGGTCCATGCTGAGGGGTTATAAAAAGACACAGCCAGAAGATGCGACCAAGTTCAGTACAGAACAGTAATTGATTTGAGTTTTGGGACGCCAGCCTGACAGGAGATGAGCTTGGCGTTGAAATGAGTTGGCAGTTGCAGAACAATGGCAAGAAAAGTATCATGTTGTGGAAAGCAGACTTCATGTATAATTTGAAGTTACAGTGAGACTGATATATCCATTGCCAGGATATGACTAGTGAAGAATCAGAATTTTAGTGTGTGCGCGCAATGGTGAATTGGAAAGTGTGCAGAATAGTGACAGCGCTGTATTGCCTGTAGTCCCGAGGTGTGTGTACAAGGTCTTAATAAATCCAATCATCTAATATAAAACCCCACCTACAGTCACTAATACATGTGACAATATTTTGTAAAAAAGAGAAAGATGGCACCCTGTCCATTTCAGGCACTCAACCCTGTGCAGTATCTTAATTAAAGTCTGGGTACTTAACCGATGCATGTGCAATTTGGGGTTGTTACTTAAATACAGGTAATGTACACTTCTTGGTAAGTAGTCTTCTCCCCAGGGACAATATTGTGCAAATTCAGTGCTGAATGCTTTTCTTGTGAGGAGGAGGCCTTGTCCTTGCAGTCATAGCTCCCCACTCAGCCCACTTTCCTGACAAATGTACAGCCCTCTTTGACCCCAGTTACAATGTCTCACTCACCTGCAGCTACAGGAAACATATGCTGCTTATATGGTAATGGGGAACCCTTATGCAGATTATACTTACAATATACAGGATATAATTATTTACATAAGCAAGTACACACTTACAGAACTGCAGAAATAGCTCTGCCTCCTTCCTTGAGGAAGGTTGGAATTGTATGAAGAGCCACTGCAAGCTTAAATGTTACTCTAGGCAACAAGAAATCCCAAACCCACTTAAAAACAGATCAACTTTCTCAAAACTGTCAAAATTAATTAAAAAAAACTCCATGGCTTTCAGTCCGCAAGTGAACTATACTGACCGAGAAACTACTGCTTGTTGGTGAAGTTGATGCCAACTTTTGCAGATAGAGGGTGTCACGTGGTCAGCGCAATGGATTCCCACGGCCGTTAATCTCAGTTTTCTAGAACAAAGCCGCCACTTTTCCATTCAAGTAGCTCCTCAATTATCCTCACGGGGCTGAGGGGACCCATTCCAGACACTCTATTTCTCAGAATATCTGGTAGGGCCGGGATCCGAAGCCGGGACCTCTGGATCTGAAGCCAGGAACTCTGACCACTAGACCACAGAGGCGGCCATCAAAATTAATAGTATGATGTTTTCAAACAATGACAGAAACAGTTATCAGTGTCACAATTTTTCAAACAGTTCTATTCATATCGTGACATAACACGTTCAGATTATTGTAAATTAATGGTCACAATACAAACAGAAGATTGGCAGAAACTATTTTCATTAATTTTTTTTTTTTTTTTGTAAAATGTGCTGCCCCAAGTGGCCACCAGTGTTGTCAACATGTCCCCAATTGTATGTAAACAAGCACATCATATGACTGGCCAGTAAACAGCAGTGTGTATTTGGTACCCTCATTACTTTTACCCTGGCCAGACAGAATGAACGCCTACTACAGCGTAAGCTGTGACCTCCTTACTTATTTCCATGTCCCTGCACTTATATGGAGAATACTGTCATCTAGTATCTGATGCTGTGCATACCGGCAGTTGTTAACTTGACATTTTGGAGGAACATATTACTTCAAAAATGTTGATAAACTTCTATCACACTACATATAGTAACATCCAAGGAGATGGTAACACTTCATAGTCGCCGCACTGGGAACCTAAATCCTCGCAATTTCTACTATAATTTAAACTCAAATTCTGTCCTTAGCCTTACAAACCATATACCGTTAACCATTAAAACTACTCTTTAGTAACAAGAATGCACACCAAAACAGACGGCCTGTGAAATTAAATAATATTTTTAAACTCAAGAACCAATCCACTCACACTTTACACAAATATGACCCTTTGGTGTATGAAATGAGATGCAATGAGATCTAAGAACCTGGCAGAATAATGGAACACTTTGTTGCACTTTAATGTAAATAATGATGGTACAAATAAGGAAACAATATTTTACAGAGCAGATCCTACTAAGCATTATGACTGCTACATTTATTTTCCATGAATATGTTATAAATTCCTTCTATCTAAATCACTGTTGAGAAGTGGATTCAGTAGTTAACACAACTACAGTGAGCTGGGAGGGGGCACGCGGTAGCGTAGTTGGTTGAGGCACTATGCTACAAGCCAGAAGGTAGTGGGTTCAATTCCCCAATGAGGTCACTGAATTTTTTCCAATTTATCTAACCCTTCCAGCCGCACTACAGCCCTGGGGTCGACTCAGCCTCCAACAGAAATGAGTACCAGGAATATTCTTGGGAGCAAAGGGCTGACAACCTTGCCATCTATGAGCCGATGGTCTAGAAAATGTGGGAACCTCAACATCTCACAACCCTACGGGCCTCCACGACCTGTTACAGGGATACGTTTACTTTTTTATAGTGAGCTGGGATAGCGCAGTCAGTACAGCAACTGGCTATGGGCTGGATGGATGAGGGGTCAGAATTTGAGTCCCGCTAGTGGCAAGATTTTTCTCCTCTCCAAGCTGTCCAGGCCACTTTTAAGGCCTACCCAGCCTTCTATCCAATTGATATTGCGGGGCGGGGTATTTCCTCGGGGAGTACAGTGGGCAGGCGTGAAGCTCACCACTAACCTCCAACTGGTACTGAGATCAAGAATACATGGATCTATATGTGGTGGTATCGGAAAGTTCCAGGACTCTTACCGTTGTAAGTTCCTCAGTGAAAGAAGATGAGAGTGGAGGCCAAGGTCACACTTCTGCAAGATTATTGCATCAGTCTGCCATGTGACACCATGTTGTGGACACATACTGCCTTTACACGAGTGCTTTTCAACTCCATGTTTCGTTCTGTCTGCGATGGATGGCAGAATCGAGCAATGTGTCTGCATCAAGTTTTGCGTGAAGCTTGGTAAATCTGCTACCGAAACCGCTGAAATGCTTCATGAGGCTTTTGGAGAACATTCTTTAAGCCGGACAACAGTTTTTGAATGGACTTCAGCTGTAAGGTCGTTTGAGTGTCAGTTGAAGATGACAAACATTCAGGGTGACCAAGCACCAGTAAACGACAGAAAATGTTGACAAAATTTGAGAATTTATTGACAGAAACTGTCACCAAACAATCCATGGGCTCACAGATACCGTTAGGATCAGTTATGAAGTTTGCCAGGAAATCTTAAAGGAAAATTTGAATGCGTCCACCAACACATCGCTGAAAGCCACAAAATTTGTGACTAATAACAACATGGTTATCATTCCCCATCCTCCTTACTCGCCTGACTTAGCCTCCTGTGATTTCGCCTTTTTCCCAAATTGAAAATGAAACTGAAGAGATGACATTTTGAAACAGTGTCTGACACCCAAAGGGAATTGCAAGCGGTACTTGACAGTATTAAGGAAAATAACTTCCACGGTGCTTTTGAAGCATGGAAAAAAATGATGAGATCACTGTATATGTTCCCAAGGAGACTATTTTGAAGAAGATGGTACCCAAAATTGAGTAAGCCAGCATTCCTTTTATGACCTTGTCTGCAAACTTTCCGACAGAACCTCATACACTCACTCACGATACATCTTCATGGTATAGTGCTTAATTAGTTAAACACAGGGACAACTTCACGGTGTTTTACATTTTTACACAAAATATGAAAATAAAGCAAATCTGATGTTGCAATCTCACAGCAAAGATGTGGAAATAACTCCTTCTGCAAGACTCCCAAATAAAAACAAAGGAGTGGAATGCATTTTCTTCTACAAAGAGAATATTATGCATGATACATATATCTACATTATAAGAGATAAAAATATATATTATGTCAGACCCTTATAGATCAGTCAACTCCTATTAAAGCTAGGCACCGGTTAACTGTAATATGAAATGTAAACAACACCAAACACAGTCAACGGAGAAAAAATATAAAATTTCAGACACTAACACCTCCAAACATTGCGGGATTCTTTTACTTTAATTTTATATAATCATGTTTATATAACCTTGTTTTTTTAAATAAATTTTCATTTTCAGAGAGACAAGTTAAAAAAAAATAGCAAAACAAAACAAAAAAACTCCGTGGCCTGCGGTTTGCAAGCGAACTATACCGATCGAGTGACCGCCACTTGTCAGCAAAGTTAGTGCCAACTATAGCTGATAGAGGGTGCCGCGTGGTCAGCACAACGGATCCCCACGGCCGTTAATTTCGGTTTTCTAGACCGGAGCCTCTATTTCCTTGAAATAGCTTCTCAATTATCCTCACAAGGCTGAGTGGACCCCGTTCCAGACCCACTACTGCTCAGAAAATCTGGTAGTGTCAGGAATCGAACCCGGACCTCTGGATCTGTAGCCAGGAACCCTGACCACTAGACCACAAAGGCAGCAGCACAAATGTAAGAAGTATGAATATCTTCATTTAATTCTGGATTCTACGATATGTATACAATAAAAGATATTTATGGCTCAAGAGGTTGGCTGTTACAAAATTAAGTATCTGAAACTAGAAAACATAGGCCTGCAGGCCTATTTTATCTTTTCCAAGACCCCTAGAATCTAACATATAGGACTCGAACCACAATCTTTTGGCACTTTGTCGTTAAACTAGTCTTGCTTTTGAGTATGACATCCAGCACCATGACCACTCAACAAACGACATGGACAAATAATCAAATTTTGTTATTGGAGGATGAGATAAAGTTCACAGGAATGAAGAGAACTATGCACCAAGTAAAGAAACATTCTTCATGCACATATCAGAAACATGTACTTCAAGATTCAACACTTCTCAAAATTAAAGTATTATAATATATGCCATAAATTAATACTTTCCAATGCATTTCTACTACAGAAGTTAAAAGTTTAAAAAGCAAAAGATGTAATCTTACAGTTTTACATTATTAACCCCTCAATCATAGCTGAAAATGGGCTATTTGGGCGTCCACTGCATCTTATCACTATTCCTACTGAAAGACACAACATTCAATACAATTCAATTGCTGTGACAAGGCATCACAGTGGTGCTCAATATACCTGAAGGGTTAAATGCAGTCAAGAGAACCAAATATCTATTTCAAATAAATCAAGACCTGTATTACTGCATACATTCATGGAAAGTTGTCCATGTGTACAAATATATTTCTTCAACAACACATTACAAATATCGTTGTTCTACAATTCTTAAAAGGAGTTTGGTCATTTGAAAGGCCTTTATGTATAGGTACAATTATTCTTTTGTAATTTCTTCTTTCTTCTCTCATATACAACTAAGGGATGGAAGAGGCCAGAAACTCTTTATTCCTCATCCTAAAAATAGTTCTTCCAAAGATAAATCAAGGGTACATATCTAGTTACCTAACTGCAGACATAAGAAATCTTTATATAAGAATTCATCAATTAAAGTGTTTTAGAACCTCAACTAACTCACTGAATCTTTGCTGACAAAGTTCTTAAACACCATTCAGATAATTTCCCTGAGTTCAATCAGCAACCTAATACTGCATCAAACAAAGACTTTGATTTAAATTAAAAATATACAAAAGAATTCACTGATAAGTTGTACACATGTAAAAGGCAGTTGTGTGCAACAAGTCAAGATAGAGAGACATTACAGTGACCAAGAGTTTGGGCATGTGTATTCCAGAAGCAAAGGTTATCACAGTTTACTTGCATAATAGACCTTCCAAAATAATAGTTCGCTCTGCCTGTTCAAGACTTGTGGAAATCAGTACTGTGCACTTGCAACATGCAGATATTCATCCTGAAAGTTTGTACTTGAATGAATCAAGTAAGAGTACACCACATTAATCAGACTTCCATTATGTCACAAAAATTAAAATATAAAGCACAAGAATATTTAATAGTACATACCTTGTTCAAGACGAAAAATGCATTGATCCTTAAGACAATTAAAAAGAAAAGGCAACATACAGATCTGCATGTTCTAATGACATCCAGAAAAGGAAGTTGTTTCATTTTATAAAAAGCGTTTCCTACAAGATACTGAGGTGTAGTTCCGCCAGGAAGACTGATAATATAGTACTGACTGCAGTTTGGGACATTGTGATTACATGAAAAAAGCTTGATTTATAAAATGTAAATTACGTTTACAATAAATTGCCATCATAAATTATAAACCATGACAGTACAAATTTACCTCACAGTATCGTTTAACCTAGAGTATCGTTTTGTCAAACTGTGCCTATTTACAAATAATTAAAATAATGTTACATAAAATACAATAAACCCTTGAATTATACTTACAAAATAAAGATATATGCAAAACTAAAAGCTGTACATGTTACCTTCATTTTGCAGTTCAGCTCTTTGGCACATTTTCTTTGTTGTTTCTGAACCTTTAAATAATTCAAACTGGGCTGTAGATAAGAAACTGGTACCCAAAATCTGTGCATTTACATAGCAGTACTCACTTGTGCTCTAAACCATTCCTTAGGATTGAACATGACCCTGTTATTTAGCTTTCAAAATATTGTGTCAGGCTGAAATCCACTGCAGGACAAAGTTTGGATGAGTCTGTCAAAAAAAGACGATAAAAAGCTAAGTATAATTATTCAGCATTGCAACAAAACTGCAGCCACATTTTCAGATATATATTACTCTTCCGAGGCATAAGATACATGACAAATGAAACGCTTTGTTCTTTACTTAAATGCTTGGATTTTGCGCTTCAAGTCTTAATGGATGAGAATTATGTTCACATGAGACTGCAAAAATAAAGCGATGCTCAAGACAAAGTAATCAGTTACTGATGTAAAACAGTAATTATTTCAGTTGTGGCCACACATCTCTCTCATATGCACACACATCACTAGAGCAATGCCTATTAGAAACTGAGTGGAAAGTTTCCCCATCTGTTATAAAGAGTTTTCAATTATTACATGCAATATTTTACAGACTGGTTTCTGGTCTTTCCTTTCTGTTGACTACCAGCTTCAAAGGATGGGAATACTTCAGAGAATGTGATAGGATGCTGCTTGTCTACTCTGTATGCAACATATGGATGGAGAAGCAGATCATCAAAGTCAATGAAAGACAAAGACAGACTACCATCACTGCCAGATGGCTTGTAACTCATACAGGTATCTCCATGCTTCTATACTCGTATATCATACGTTATAAGAACAACTGTTAACTCAGACTGTGCTAGAGTTAGTCATTGCACAATACACATGTGTGACATGCAGTCTGTCAATGGATTTAGCAACAGTCTGCAGAAGACCCTGTTTTTTGTCCAAAGGTTTTATCTGTGGATGAATCATGCTTCACTAGGACTGGGTATCCATAAAGGATACGTGTGGCTAGAAGATAATCCTTGTGTGATTCAATCTCATCATTTGCAACAACAATTTTCCATTAATCTGTCAGATGGAATTTTAGGTGATTACTTCACAGGTCCTTTGCATTATACTATCACAAGTGGGTGGCCACGACTACCTTAATTTCCTTCAAACACATTTAAATGGTATAAATGTTATGTTTTTGGACATTATCCATCGTCTTGTCTTTATCTAAAAACCATCCTGTTTATTTTTCAAAACACAACTATTTGGAGACTGGATTCTGTCTCTGTCTTCAGGTAAAACCTACTCAGTTGGGCTCATTCTATCTCTATCGATTGGGCCCAATTGAGTAGGTTTTACCTGAAGATGGAGATAGAATGCAGTCTCTCGCTCAATCTATCTCTATTGAATGGGCCCAACTGAGTAGGTTTTATCTGAAGATGGAGATAGAATCCAGTGTCAAAAACGTTGTGTTTTGAAAAATAAAGAAGATGGTTTTCAGATAAAGACAGAACGATGGATAATGTCCAGAAACATAATATTTGTACTAATATGTCATCGTCACAAACCTTTAGATCTTATTTACATTTAAATGGACTAATTTGTCCTTCACCATGAATCTTCATGCGTGGTTTAAACATGATGATGCTCAACCATGTTGTAACAACAAAGGGTATCAATGGCGGTCAAAAAATTATCCTGGATGCCAAATTGGTCATACACGTGAAGTGCCAGTTTCCTGGCCTGCATTCCTACCTGGCTTGAATCCTCCCAATTTTGTAAGATCTGAGGTTTTCACAGAGGTTATTATGAACAATGCTGTCTTCTAGGATGTGGCATAGTGTAGATCTTGTGTGAACCAATGTTTCGAAGGACCGTATCACCTCCAACTTCAGAGTAGAAAATTCCATGAGTGAGGAATCAGCACGAGCAGGTGGCTCCAGACTATACGGTGCCACATCCCAGAATACGCCATTTTCTGTGTGGATATTTAAAAACCAAAGCATATACCATTACAATCAATACTAGACAGGAACTGTCACACTGAACTAAGCAGTTTGCAGGGGACAAATATAGACCAGATTATGAATCTTTGAACACCTGAGCATTTCTTTTCCACACACAGCTGATTTTTTTTTAAAACACAGAGCCTGTTAATTCAGATGTATTTAAGGTGTGACTATGGAGGATGAAATTAGAAAAGCTGTAACTATTTCAGGAAGGGCCTCAGGGTACATAGCAAAATGAACTTCTCTACTTATTTTTATGTCCAGAAAACATCCTGTAAAATATGGCATGTAATAATCAGATACCCTATGTAAACTGTATTGCAATCATTTACAGATTCAATACAGTTTAACTATAACATTAAACTTTCAATATTAACACAACGGTACATAATGGAACAAAAAGGTGGAATCACAATAAAGCAGCATATTTTTGGTGGCCATGTCTCTTCAGTGCTTGAGCAAATCTACCCTTGCAAGGAAACACAGTCCAAAACTGCTTCAGCATTTGCAGAAATCACTCTTCTACAGCATCTCATTGAATTTCCACCTCTAAAATGACACATAAAAATGTCTGCACTGCAGAGAAATAAACTGTGAATTTTTCTAATTATGATAAATTTTTGAATGAAGTCCGATTCTACAAATGATAGGATGTTCCATCAACAGCTTACTTGCTATTTACTGTTGTGGCGCCATACAGTGAATGCTCACTGCACTGAATGGCTGCAAAGTAATAAAGCAGCAATGGACAGTCAGTGCCTGCACAGCTGAATCTGCCATGCAACCATAAATACACTGACCCTTGTAAGTCAGAGATAACTCTACCATGCCTTAGCAGAGCACCATAAATTCAACTGCTGCTGGTTAACAAGCAATGCTCTAGAGAGCCAAGGGGCAACATGGCAAACAAGACTTTTAATAAAGTTTAATTTAAAGGCCTTGAGGTTCCTCATTAACAGTTCTGTCACGTATACAACTAATTAGTAATAGTCAAAGCGCATTTTCTCACCCGTATAGTGTTTCTCATGGAATACTAATATGGGCAGGGGATCTTGGGTGGTGAAATTTCAACAGTTCTGCCACTGTAATGGCTACCTGAACCAAACCTCTGCCTTCAAGGACATCAGATGCACAACATATTAAGCCCTGAAACAGAAGAGAATAAAGGACCAAATAGAACATTGCACTTAAATACCTAACCAAAGATACACAATTGTTTTTCTAATAGTAAGCAATGATCTCACAAACATTAAAAGTACATGACCAATAATCATCAATATTTCAGTACATGGTTTGCTCTATACTGTGAGAAGCACAAATTAAAAATAATACTAATAGTTTGCATCCTGTTGTGTGTCTCAAATAAGATGCAATTTATTACACAGTCATGAACTTCAAGTTTCAATCATGCTTACAACAACAGAAGTTTATGTATGCAGTGCTCCAATTTTTTCATCTTCACACAGCCTTCATTTAACATAATAACAACTGCTGTGATCACTGCCTGCTTCATGCTAAGTCAATGAACGTAGAGTCTACATTTATTTCCAAGCTCCTGGGTAAACTGGAGACATTAAATATATGAATCAAATATTTATACAACTTCAAAATACCACAGCACTTAAATTTTGGCTAAATCTTCATGAAAAACTCTGTACATCAAAATTCTTAATTAAAAGCTTTCCTCTTTACATTATTTTATTACAATTCATGTTTATTACAGTTTTGGAAGTATTCAAAATAAGTACAAATGGTTTAGCACAATAACAACGGGAAGCATAATATAAATAATAATAATACATAAATAAAACCAACAAATGAATTAATATAAGGGAGCATATGACAACATATTTTGTAACAGCTGTTCATATGATTGAACAATTTAATTTTACAGACCTTCAATACACTTCTGTACAACCATTTTCTAAAGCTGATGTTACTTCTATATGTAAAAAAGGAAAACTCTTTCCGTTTCACTTTGTATGTGATTTCGTTCAGTTTTCTACCTTAATCTATCATACAGCTTTCACACAGATCATCTGAATTAAATCTGTGCATGAGCTGGTTCTCAATACAAACTGAACATGACTGAGTTCGATGTAAATTGGACATCCTGCTTGCCATAAATAATCATCCCTTCTTGACTCTTTTCTGGGGATATTTCAAAGATGCTGCACATTGGACCAAAGTCAACAACCTAACTGATTTTTACCACAGGACTGTATAGTGTCTATAACTCCAGAGATGTTATGCAACACCTGGACAGAGACAGAACATTGGTTGGACGTCTGCTGCGCCAAAAGGGAGGCACATGTGCATATCTATTGACAACAAAACATTTGATAACATTTTACACTTTTCACATCAAACAGCGAAATTATTCAGTATCTTTAGCAGCTGTGATCATTTTGGACACCCTGTACGATATAATAAACCTTCCTTTGCAGCTAATTAAAACAAGGCCAATGGCACTGTGAAAGACACTACCATTTAATTTCTGTTTACGGCAATGCTCAGTGTCCAAAGAGAAATGCTTATGAAGATTATTATTTAAAACATGTATATTCTTCCTGTATACATCGAAGATTCTTTAACTTTGACACAAAAGCATAATAGGCCTATATAAAATTTCTTCATTTCATGCATCTTGCTTACATAATACATGATATTAAAAACGACTTCATGGACACATACTCTCTCCCTTCTTATCAGCATATTAAACTTTTTTCAGTTGCCACGTTTACATATACTCTGTACATAATTCTGTGACAGACCACTAGCACTGCTGCTTAGCATGAACAGGTTCTGTGTAACATGCAGTTGTAGTCTTCCTAATATAGGCCTAATCAAAATAATCAGTGAATATTCACTTTGTTGCAAAGTTACATTTACCACATGCTAATCATTACAAACAACTTAATTTTAGTGGAAGATATGCTTCAAAATTACCAATGTTCACACTTAATATACCCTGCTATAATGGTAACACACAAATCATCAGTCTAATAACACTTAATAATCAAGTTAAACTGAAGTCACCAAATTTTTTTTATGGAAATTCTTATGTTATCAGAATATACAATAGGCCTACAATGCAGTCATTAGAATTTCAGACTACCTCCTCATATCTGTTCATTCTTTTTCAAGATATACATATTCAATGAGCCTTGCAACACAAGATCTAAGAATAGTCCCTACCATATTACCATTACAAAATTGTCCTTAGAACTTGCTTCATGATGGTGGTGGTTTACTATATCCATATCACAGACCATACTGTAGGCAATAAATTTTGTCTAAAGTGAATAAATCCAAGAACCTGACTTTCAAACACTCAATAGTCATCCACAGTATTAGATCTCTTACAAGCGAAAACATCACAATAACACACATCTGTCCATGTATGCAAAGAAACAAAATTGGCGATAGAATTGAAACTTTGCTAAACTCATGGAAGCCCAAAGGAATATGCTAAATGCATTGCTTAAACACATCAACATAGATATCAGTTTTATCCCATGTGAATCACTTCAGTTAAATTAAGATAGGACCAATATGACTAAAAATCAGGACCATTAATTTTTTGTGAAAGTCTCCCACATCAAATTTCAACACAATCAGTAAAACAGTTTACGGTATACATGGAAAAGTCCATTTATAACCTGATGTAGGGCTGCAGCATAAGTGGTTAGTCGCTGGCTTACCACTGCAGCGGCCCATGCTCGATCCTGGGTCTGGTCATGTGGGATTTGTGATGGACTGCATCCGTTCTGCGGTGGTATGACTCACGGCAAATTGCAGCCGCGGCGCGCACTTGATTGTACGCACTGTATAATGTAAACTGGGCTTTATATAGGTAACTATGGCTAAAAATCTGAACTATCATGCAACTTACAGTGAGAGTATCCTACATAAAATTCTAAGAAAATCGATCCAGCAGTTTAGGCCCTAATACTAAGTCACACAGGCAGATTGACAAACATGGCCTTCATATAAGGCACTTTTTTACATTGTAAAAAATATGCTTAAAAAGGGGCAAAAGGATATCTTCTTATCTATGGTGAGTAACTTAGCAACAGGGTCAGGAGAATGAGTACTCTAGGATTTCATCAACAAATCATTAAATTGTTTTCACGACAAAGGTGGAAAGTAAATGATGACATATTAATTTTGGTTCCTCAGACCGTTGCAGGCGTCTGATCATCATAGGATATTACATGTAAAGTTATGTTTTATTCTTCTACAGCAATTATGGGTGAAGTGCAATTCTTAAATATACCAAATTTTTTGTTTCTGAGGGTTATGAAGTTGGCAGTCATGGACTATTTCAAAATGTCATGTTAAATGATTAAAAAAATATGTCAGACATTTGACAACTAATTCCTGTGGATTCAGGCTACTTTACCCATAACACTGCCTTTTATTCCTGTTACACATATTATTTGGGGCATGCGGTAGTGTATTTGGTTGAGGCACTATGCTACAAGCTGGAAGGTCACGGGTTCAAGTGCTGATGAGGTGTTTTTGTTTAACTGACCTAATCCTTCCAGCCACACAATGGCTCTGGGGTCAACTCAGCCTCTTAACAGAAATAAGTAGCAGGAATATTCCTGGTGGGGTAAAGGATGGGAGGTACATAAGGCTGACAACCTTACCGCCATCTGCGAGCCGACTGTCTACAGAAATATGGGAGCCTTGATGTCTCACAATCCTATGGGCCTTCACGGCCTGTTAAAAGACATAACTTTTTTTATTTTATTTTTACACATATTATTCTCTGCTCTCTCATAACATTATTCAACTCCCTATGAACAAAACAACACTTCTGCACCCACTGCTTTTAACTAACTGTAATCTCACATCCATAAAAACAAAGGTTAAAAAAGGCAATGGTAAGACCGGCTTGTAACATGATAAAATTCCTTTGACCAAAAGTAGTTGAGTACTTTATATATGATTGCATTAATGCATTAGTCTTTCAGCAGTAACCTGTATATTCTGAACAATACAAGAACTTCCATATCCCATTTATAAATTAAAATTTCCTCCAAATAAGGAAGGACAACATCAAATATCAATTTACAAGTTCAAGAATTTGCAGTATGTTATTACATTACCATTTATTCTTTCAGAAAAATTATCCCCATTTCTTCAAATATAACAAACCAAATTACTATTCTGTCAAAATGAAAGTTATATTTCAATCTTATCGTCCATGTAAATATTAAGCTGGTAGATGGATAATTCTCTCCTACTTAATTTTCACACTGTTACCTAACCAAGTTCCTCCTTCTCTGACATTACAACAAATTAGCACCTTAGAGCTTTAAGACACTTTCCCATATTTGAGTTTTATTATGATGAAACACTTCTGTAGGCTCCTTAACTAGTTAACTTCTTGTGATTACTGAATGTACTTCAACACACAGGCAATGTTCATAGTGGGCATAAAAAAGAAAAGTAAGAGCTGCAGTAAAACCTAGGTATAACAAGCAACATTGACTATCATATTAGTTACAAAAATCTGTATGTTCATTGTTCAAAGTTCAGCTCTAAGGATTAGTATATTTGTGGGGGGATAGTTACCTAAAATTCTTGCTGGATCAGACTTTAGAACACAGTTTTTAGATAAGATGCTTTGGAATTTCCAATCAAAACGTGTTTCTGCTATGACATGATAATATAAGCATGAAAAACAGGCACTTTCAGGGACTACTGCTACAAGGTATTTACATTTTTCAGAATCACAAACAAGCAGAAAAAATTAAAACACTCTGTCAACTGAGCATTCAAGTTCCTACCATCAAATATAAGCAGCAGCAGAATCTATAATTCTGTATGTAACATTTTTAGTATGTTCAAAAATACTGTATTCTCAGGTTGGTTTGCTATAACAATGTGCATACTGTTATGGCCTAGAAAATTAAATTTGTCATAATGGAAAATTATCTCATATGAGGCTATTAATATGATTAATGTGTTTACATGCAAAGTTGGAGCAGTGTGTGTGAACAAGTAGAAAATTTTCTTTCATGACATTTTTTTAAATGATGCAACCTTCTCTGACAAACAGAAAACAAAACAGCATTAATATATAATCATGCACATTGCTTCAGAATTCATTAATACAGTTCACGAGTGGCTAT